GTAACAAGCGTGAGGCTGAGGGTGAGCCGAGGGAGAGGAGAGAGAGGGGGAGAGTGAGAGCACACACACACACTCACTCACTCGACACGACGGACTCGGACTGAGGATCGGACGCAGACACAGTGGCAAGGCACAAAGTCGAAGTCTTGGATTCCCGAATGCCGAAAACAGCAAGTCACACTGAGTACGAGTACAGCAGCAGAGAACTGGTACGAGACTGGTGCCCGCATAAGTACCGGTGACACGTACGGTACTAGGGGCATTTCTGCAAAGGCCCCCGAGGGCAGAACTAAAAAATGCAGTATTTGAAAGTGGCGCCCGAATTGCAGCATGGCGCCAGTTGTCCAAAATCCTCCGGTACCAAAGGAGGGGTTTGGAAAAAGGGTGCCAGGCCGAAAACGGGATGCAGCTGAAACAGCAAAAAGATAGACCAGGGATCGAGCCCTGGCGAAGTCCGTAACAAGAGCAAACTAATTGTGTCGCATCACTACCTTGAGAGTACCTAACTCATCATCAAACGTAACTACTAACCGGATGAGAACTTCTGGTTCGGAAAAAAGAAGACCACATCTAAGCAAAACATGCTCCACATCACCGCATCACAGACGTAAATCCCCTGTGCAAATACCGTTACAACACGAGATAAACCTACCAAATATGCACCTATCTCCACGGAACACCGCCCAACTGACTCAAATCAGTCCCACAGAAACACCGTCATCACTAAATATGCACCCATCTCCACAAAACACCGCGCAACTGACACAAATCAGCCCTACGAAGACAACGTCAAATCACTAATACCAAGTCGTAGACATGGCCACTGTCCCAGTGTATAATCACACTAGTGGTTGTCACGCAAATCTGGAAAGGGAAGACTGTTCGGCAAGACAGACTGAGTGTGAGAACGGAAGCAAGATAGATACGCCAATGTAAATCCACTCTGTTGCGCACACCAATAAGAATTTCAAATAACAGCACTCATAGATCCAATCATTACAAACATCCACGCGGACGACCCTCGACACGTTTCATCTATCCCGCACATAGGCTCTTCAGGAGGACGAATCCAAGAATGCTATCCCGAACAACTTGAGGCCATACCAATGCCTTGCCCCAATTTATACCTACCCTACTCCTACTCGCTGTGCAACGAATACAAGTACCCAACCCTTCTCACCAAAGCAGAGCATACGCCTGTGTAATGAACCCAGTCTGGCAGATACTCATCAGTCGTCAAGCACCAGTAGTCTCGGTATCTGCAGCAAAGTCTCCAATTATTGTGAAGTGATATCTGAGACAGTATCTCATTACCATCAGACGAAGAGAGTGGAGGGGGAATAGACAGACGAGAAGGTGGAAGAGATGATCAATGATTACACAAGAATAATCCCATCAAACCCAACTTCTTCTCCGGGCTTCTTCCCTCTCCACATCATCAACCAGTATATGATAACAAGTATGATCATCCTGATCACACAGTAGTGCCACGTGGCACTCTCATCTCGTGAAGACCATGAAGACACAGCAGAATACCGTGACGACGTCAACCTCAGGTGAGTACCCGATCCCAATCATCCACAGATCCCGATCTCCCTCCTCCTCGCAACCAGTCACCTCATGTAGACAGCGTGGACAACGCCACGTCAACAGTCGAGACAGGTGGCACGCGCCACATCAGCAATGTAAACCAATGGCATGCGTCACATCAGCATGCAATGTAGACCAGAGGCAGCGCCACATCAGCATGCAATGTAGACAAGTGGCCTGCGCCACATCAGCCTGGAAGACCGGTGGCAGCGCCACATCAGCAATGCCTGGCGCATAATGCAGAACGCTCCAGCATGCCGTCACAGTCCGCGTCGTCGTCCACAGTGCCTGCGCACAGAAAGTGTCTCGCCAACGTTGTGCCAGCGTCAATGCCAGCGTCTGGTCAAAGTCGAGCCAGCTTCCAAGCAGCATAGCAAGACTGAATGTTGACCACCTCGAGACCAGCCCATTTGTAGTGTTTGTCGAGGCTGTCTGGCCTCGGGTCCCCTCCTCACAGTCGTTCAGATTGACTCACAGCCGAGGGCCTGGATTGTGTACAGTTGCAGACTTCCCCTTGGACCTGATGCTGTCTGGGTACCTGCATACAAACAAATGTGTGTGTCTGACCGGCGGCCTGGGCTGGGTACACTTTGACTTTGACTGTTGGGATCTCCGACAGTTGACTTAGTCAACCGTACTTCGTCCAGGCCCTGAATCTTTACGTGGGGTTTATTTTCCCCCGTCTTGGCCTGGGCTGAGGGCGGCCAAGTAGGCCCTCAGATTTCCACGAGACATATGGCATGGGTTATTGCACTTGTACCAAGCAACCTGAAAAGCCAATGTGGCAGGTGTAGATGCCCCAAAAACTGTCGGCAGACGAAGAGAATCGTATGACATGATGATCAACTTCGAGCAGTGGCAAAGTGTACCTGCAAAAAAAGGCCTGAAAAAACGCCCTGGGCCGCCCAAATAAAATTTTCGCCCTTGGCCTGGGGGCCCGCCATCCAGACCGGTTACCGGAATATGGTACCGGATGCCGGACCCCGGAGAGTCCGGATCCCTTTCCGGGGGTCCGGATCGTAGCTATTGTCTGGAGACGTTACAAAACTGCCTCCCACATCTGCCGGTAAATGATTAATGAGTAGAGAACAGGAAAAGTTGGAAAAAAACTTTCAGACAATCTTCACAGCCACAGGTAGCAGAAGTGCAGAAAACTTGATAGAGCATCGACAACTAACTTTTTTTTTTATAACTAGCAGTCGCAAGAACAATCTTCCAAGAATCTTCCGCATGTAATGGCGAAAAAAAAGACAATTTGGAAACCAAAAAAAAAAATCGTCACTGCTCAAAACAGTCTTCAGTGAAGACTCTGAAGAGATGTCGGTGTCATGTCGCATTGCTGTGTTATGATTCTGGTTGTTTGTTGTCTGAAGACCAACACTCACTCACATAGACTTCCAGGTATGCCCATAGATACACAGAAGGAAGGGGAGAGGATAGGAGTATCACACCGCACTGGGAGAGATAAACACAGCGGAAGACTTGACCATGCGATATGACAGGGTACACTTGAAAGTGCAATTCACTCCACTCAATCCTCACAACCAGTCATAGAGAAAAGCCGAGCAGATCACATCCAGGAAGCAATGAAACGATGGTAGTCCAAACCCAGTTATACACTGTTTATTAAACTCAGAGCCTCAAATTGTCAGGATTACTTCAGTACTACAGTGCGCTGCTCAGAAATGAGCAGCGCTTCACTCCCCAACCCTGATTAGCACCCGTAACACCCCTGAGCCCCTGAAACATCAAGCGCCACCCAGATACAGCCTCCTGAGGGAAGCGCTACCCTGAAACAGGCCTCTGAGGCCAAGCGCCACTCAAAGGACGAAGAAGAAGACCAGCGCCACAGTATCTGATGATGACGAAGTATCGGAAGACTTCCCGGGTGGAAGTCTGCAGCAGCGCCACCAAACCCCGACAAGATGACCTCTGAGGAAGAAAGCTGCAGCTATGGCTGCAGCGCCAACACCCTGGAACCCCACTCCGGAGGAGGGTCCAGCAGGGCACCAATCTCTCTCGCCTCCAGAAGACCTCGATAACCCAGACCTCTGTCAGCGCCTGCGTGCTGGCAGAGTACAGCGCAGGTTCCAGCTATGGCCGGCGCTCCGAAGGTCTGGCTATGCCTGTCGGCTTCCACGCCGAGACGTCACCACTTCCGGTTCGCGCGTAGTGCAGCAGCGATGTACTCGGAACCAACTGCCAAAAGCCCTGAACCGATGTGCCCATCCTATCTATGTGCTACAACTAGCCTAGACTCGACCTAGACCGGACTGACTGACCGACCGGTACCGTGTCTGTTTCGGCCTCTCGGCCTCTGCCGGACCCGGCTATAGGCTATAGGACCATCTATCAGAATAGGCCCTTGGGGCCTGTCTGTCCTAGGAGTAGCCCGGGCCTGCTATTCGCAGTTAGGGTAGCTGTAGGGAATCCTGTTAGTACCGGGCCTGTATTTTCCCGAATTTGCAGATATGCCCCTCACGAATTTCCCCCACAGGTAGGTCTCTCGGTTAGCCCTCAGCCAAACAAAATTGCGAATCTGTCCTACCTATAGTACAGCCTCGACAGAGAGAGGCTACAGGCGACCAGAAAACAGCAAGTCATTGCAGCTGTGCAGTGTGCACCAAAAGTTGGTGCAGTGCACAGAAAACTAAGGAAATATTAAAATTTTAAAAATATATATAATATATTCTAATAATTTATTATTAAAAAAAAAGAGGAAAAGAAAAGAACTCATGAAGAAATATTGAACCTGAGTTTACTATTTTCATAAATTCAAAGAATGTGATTTTGGGTTTGCTTATGTCAAAGTTGAAAGGTGCTCAAAATTATGACAAAATAACATTTTAGTATTTTTACTATTTTACAAATTTACGTCCTGTTAATTAAACTCATGAAGAAACATTGAAGCTCTGTTTACTATTTTCATAAATTCAAAGAATGTGATTTTGGGGTTGCTTACGTCTGAGTCGAAAGTTGCTCAAACTTATGGCAAAATAACATTTTAGTATTTTACATCATGTTACTTTTTTCTGGATTTGTTCTTTGTTAATTTTTTTGCGTTGTCTGCATTAGTGATTTTACGTGTGCAGTGCGCAGTGTGCAATAGGTATGATCTTCACGTTGGCAGTCAAAGTTCACGTTTACGGTCAAAGGTGGTGGTGGTGCATGCACTGAAGAGCTTGCAATGCCTTGCATGCTTGTGCTGTGGGGTTTGTGCAGTTGGCCTTTAGGCCAACCTGGAGGCGGGTACCTCAAATGCATGGGTGGGCATATGGTGTATGCACAAGACACCTTGTGAGTGAGGGGGGAGGGGGGGGGGGGGGGAACGGATGATTTGCCACATCAGAGTTCAGGCCAAATGAGGGCATTCACTGTGTGCAATCTTTGTGGTTGTATGTTTCTGGAAGAATTCCAGATTGCCTCCGAGACTGGAAATGCACATGAAGGAAGAGTCGGCCAGATTACTCAAAGAATTTGGAAGCCAGGGGTGTGAATGGAAGAATATGAAAAGCAATTTCCTCTCCGATGAATCTCCAATCCATGCCAGGTCAGCCACTAAGCATCTCCCTCCCCCACTTCCTTTCCTTGAAGCTTTCACTTTTTTCACATGGTGTAAACCTGCCCAGTGCCCACCCATCTGTCTTCTTCATTGCCCTCTCCTTTGCTAGGACAAGGTGAAACAGGCTAGCTACCATAGCTCTGACCAAACAACTCCTTGAACCCTCTCTGCATCCTTTCCCTGACGATGATGCGCTCAGATGCCTTTCCCCTAACTCACCTGCCAAACTTTTCCATTCATCACCACTCCATTGCTATGAGAACTTCCAACTTGGTGGGACAGAAGTCACTTTCTGCTTTTTCAGGCATTAACAATGTGAAACAGGCTAGCTACCATAGCTCTGACCAAGCAACTGCTTGATGCCTCTCTGCATCCTTTTTTTCCCTAATGATATGCGCTCAGATGCGTGCCCCCCCATCTCACCTGCCAAACTTTCCCACTCATCACCACTCCTTTGCTATCAAAACTTCTAACTTGGAGTTCCACATCACATCATCAAAGATGTATCAGGCTTTTCTATCACAGAGAGCACATATTTGCAAGCAAGTCGCACAGTAGTGCAACCATCAACCTTTGAACGTGGTGGTGCTGATGTCACTTTCTACTTTTGCCGGCATTGGTAAAGGAGGACCAGGCTGGGCGCCAGCCAACATCGAAGAGGTTCATGATTCCAACATGAACGCATCTGCTGAGGATAGGCGCTCAGGAGTTCCACATAATCGCTGACGGGGGTTCAGAGCTGGAGTTGGAGAACTGGAATGTGCTAAAGATTCCCAGGTGAACCCTAACCCTTTCAAAGTTCTTGGTACCGTCTTCCCCCGAATGGAATGTACGCATTGTACGTTCATTATAGCTGTATGCGGGGCAACTTTCAGTCTAGACACAGGGATAATGACCATGTTGCGAGGATATGAGTCCTTGGCATGCCTGTAAGGGGGGCCCCGCTCCAAGCATCGTGCCCACCCTAAGTGAAGGCGGGCCCTCTATCTCAAAGCGGCCTGAATATTGCAATTTTGCCAGCCCTTGAGTGGGCGCCAGACAGTTACCACGTGCCGGTTGGTTGCATACACCCTGCTCGCCAGCATCAGAATCTTCAGTGAGCCTTCTAGGCTCTTCTCTCCTCAACGTGGAAGCAGGCCTCTCGGCCTATCAGCAAGCAGGGAACACCTCATTGGGAGCTGGGTGGTTGGGCGCGCCTAACTACTGCGGGCCCAGGCCACTGTCTGAATGGGCCTGGGCACAGACACTTTGGCCCAACTGGAAGCTAGAGGGCACACACGTGTCCCAGGCCAGGCAGCGAGGGAGGCAAGCACATTCCATTTAGGAAAGAGCTCGCCTCTCACTCAGGCATGCGGGCACTTGCATGTTGGGCGGTAGCGCACTGAAGGCCGCTAGCAAGCAGCGCTTGGCCGCACTCTGGCGCAGGTTGAAGTGCGGGCACTGCTAGTGAGCAGCGCCATAGCCCAGGCCTTCATAGCCGGGCTTGGGCAGTCATAGCTGGCGGGGTATGGTGGTGGTCTTCATATGGGGAGAGAGAGCTGTGGCTGAAGACGAGGGTGAGCACTGAGGTGGTGAAGGAGGGAGGTGATGTGAGGGCACGTACCTGGTCCTGGTGGAGGTCTGCATGGTCGACATCTGCATGTACTTTGGTCGCTGCTGCTGTAGTCAACTGGTTGCTTTGTCTTTACTGTAGGCTAACGTAGTAGCTGTAGGATCGTAGTCTAGGCGCTGAGCGCCATTAGGAGGAAGAGCTTCGAGTACATTGTTGGTGGTGGCGAGAAAATGCTTTCATTGACAATTGAGTTCGCTGCTTTGGTTGTCCTTCGGTGTGATATTAGCGCATTTCTGCTCTCTGGGCAGCATTCGACTACCTGGCTTTCAATGTGATTTTGCAATCTGGAATTCTGTCATTTCGCTCTCGCTCATTTTCCTTGCAATGCGTTCTATTCGGGGAAAGAAGGTTTTCATGAAACGGTTCTCACCTTTGCGGTAGCAGGTGCAGTTCCCAAGGCTCGATACCCAGACATTGCCCTTACCCATGTACAGTACCAGTTGACCCATGTGTGCTTGAACCCGCGACCTGTGTCTTGAAAGTCGCCTGTTTGTTTGATGTAGGTAGGGTGGTTGTCGGGTCTTGAACAGTAGGTCCGTAGATTAGCAGTCTTAGCAGTGGTAGGGGCCGTAGCTGCTACAGTACCGAAAGGTCAACGTAGGTCGCAGCTGCTACAGTACCGAAAGGTCACATAGGCTAGACTAGGCCCCTCGAGGAATAGTCTACTCTGCCCCTTCATGAGTCCTAGCTAGCAGTCCGTAGGCAAGTGGGCAAGTGGGCAGTCTAACTCAGCCCAGTCAGCGGTACCCAGTCCCAGTCGCACTTTGTCAAGTCAGCAAGTACCATGTGGGACTGTGTACACCCGGGCCCAGGGTCCAAGGGCAGACCTTTGACAATCCAAAGTATAAATAAAGATGCAGCATCAAGCCATTCATTCAATCTGCCTGTGAGCCGTGTGGAAGCCCTGTTGGAGCATCTTGTGTACGAAGGTCTGCAGTTGCCCGAAGGAGAAGTGGGCTAAGAGGAGGAAGTCGGCCATAGCCCAGCTTGTTAGTAGGGAAGAGGAAGACGGCGGCCATAGCCGCCACGTCAGAGAGTCGGTAGATGTTAGTGTGTGTGTGTGTATGAGTGAGTGTTAGTGTGTGTGTGTGAGAGTGCTGGCCATCCAGGGAGATCCAGGGTGTGTGTACGAACAGGTTGCTGAGAGTACAGGGATCGGCCATAGGCGATCAAGACAAGTTTGAATCTGAACTGCGTTCTTGGCTTCATTATCTCTGAGCTTTGTGTGGGTGCAAGTTGCCAGCTTGATCGTCATCTGTTTGTACGCATGCTGAGTGTCGAGAAAGACGAGTCCGATTGCATTGGTATCAGACCTGGTTCCTGCTGTCCCGATCACCGCCGTCGTCGTCATCATCATGGCCGCCGTCCCTGAAGACGAGATAGGAGGGCGCCATGTCAGCAGAAGAAGGAGAGGCGCCCGCCAGGTGCCACGTCAGCGCGCCTTCATAGGAAGAAGAATGGCGCCAGTTGCCACGTCAGCAGGGTCGTCGCTGCCGAAGTGAGGGGAGAGTGGTGCGCCACGCCAGATCGCCACTTTGCGCCCTTCGCTGCCGCTGATTTGCGCGCGCTGCCTGCTATTGCGCGCATTTTCGTCGATTGTCACACACTGGTTTCCCGCGTGCGCGTTTCCCGCTATCGCGCTGCCCGCTCCACGCCAAGTTTTCCCGCGCGAACGCTGGCCGCTATCACTCGCGCCCGCTACCAGTTGCGCATTAGTTTCCCGCGCTTACCCCGCTGTGCGCCGCTGCTCACTGCCGACTACGCACAGCCCGTCATCGCTCACGCCCGCTGCTAGATCGCGGATTCTTTTCCCGCGCGCGTATGCATTGCGCTCTTGTCTGCCGTGCGCTGCGACCCGTTGCTGTCGCGCGCCCGCTAGTTATCGCGCGCCACGCATAGCTGCGCGCCGTTGCTTCAAGTGCGCATGAACCGATCGCCCGATCGTGATCTGAAGACCGCCGCTGTGACGATTGCTGACAGGAGAGAATACCACGGGAAGAAAGGAGGGCTCCCTTGCGACAAAGAGAAGGCCGCTGCGAAGTAGAAGAAGGGCCACCGCCAAGAGAAGACCGCCGCCGCTAAGCTGAAGAAGAGCATCCATAACTGCAACGCTTGAGGAGGAAGGGGACGACGAAAGGCGAAGAAAGAAAAGGGGGGGGGGGGGGGGGGGGGGGGGGGGGGGGGGGGGGGGGGGGGGGGGGGGGGGGGGAGAGAGAGAGAGAGAGAGAGAGAGAGAGAGAGAGAGAGAGAGAGAGAGAGAGAGAGAGAGAGAGAGAGAGGGCGATACAAGATTGGGGTTGCAGTCGAAGCAGGAGGTGGCGGCCATAGCCACCAAGCCAGGAGTGACGAAGAAGAAGTTGAGGAAGGAGAGACGAGGAAGAAGAAGGAAGCCATAGCCAAGGTGGGTGAAGAAGACGAGAGAAGGGGGAAGGAGAGAGAGAGAGAGGTTGGCAAAGGAGAAGGGTCGCCAGCCATAGCCGAAGGTCGGACCTTTGATCGGGAAGGTTTGACCGGCCGTTGACCAAAGTATTTGACCAAGCTAGAGCTGGTATAATCTCGCCAAGCCTTCAGCCTACACTTCGCCCTATGGATGTGCACTTACCCCTTGGTACTTGCTGAGTCTGTCTCTTTTCTTTCTGCATTGAGTCACTTCTGTCCAGGTGATAGGACTCCATGCATGTGGTCATAGAGTTGTGTTGACCAAACTTACACGGGCTGAGTCGGGCTTAAGTCCATGTCTGATGACTGACACGTCCCGAAGGCCTAACCCTCCCAAGGACTGGTACAGACCGGCAGGCTGCTCATTGTGGCATGGTAGGCCCAAAATCCGAGATGTGGGCTGCACAACCAGCTGTCTAAGGGCCTCGTTAGACACTCCTTATGAGTTCCTTGAGCCACAAGGAATTTTCCTTAAGGCTGTTAAGGGAAATTTGCGGCGTCGTTCCACGCATCCTTGGGGACGTCCTCTGAGGAAGTTTCCTTGTGGCGTGGGCGCGGCCGTTTTCATACGAAAATTTGTGGCCACGGGGTTGGTTGTCCGTGGTCCACCATTTCTTGTCCATGTGGAGGCGGCGTGGTCCAATGTCGTTTGGCGGGAAAGGGCATCGGGCGGTCCATGGGACAAATACAAGCAAGGGGCCTCGACGTCCGAAATTCGAATTTCAAATGACGGCAGCAACGAGGACAACGGCGTTCGGCTGGCGGCGCGAAGACGGTGTAGTTCTGAACCGGACTTAGTGACGTCGTCCCTTCCGCCCACCTACTGCTGTGAGTGCATTGGCGTCGTCGCTAGAGTCCATCGCCGTCGACCTTCTTCAACGTGGTGTGCGCCGTTGTACACATTTCCGCCGGGAGGACCGCATCCAAAGAAAGGCGGCAGCTTCATCGGACGTCTTCGGCTTGTGATCTGCCGCGTGGAAGGACGATACATACGGCAGCAGACAGAGGGATCCGTGTGTAGGTCGCGGCTATGGACGGCGGCGGAGAGGGTGGACGTGCGGTGGAGAGGGTGGACGTGCGGTGTTGACAGCTCTTGAGTTGGCGGCCGTGGCGGCAGCGGTGTCCACCGTTGTTCTTCGATGTCAGCAGCAGAGGGCGCTGGGACGAATGGAGGCGCAGTTGCGCGCGCGTAGACACAGGGTATTGACACGAGGTCGGCATGAACTCCCCGAAGTAGTGGCGATGTCGGAGGCTGTCATTCACCTGTGCTTCGCGTTGGGTTGCGGAGTGCTTCCGCGAGCGACGCCAAGGTGCTGGATGAAGCGAAGGACTGGAGGCACGTGGGAAGACCTCAGGCAATGCGAAGACGCGACAGACGACTACTTCCAGGAGAAGCTACACATGTCGCCGCGAGCGTTTCGGGAAATCGCGGAGGCATGTGCTCCTCATTTTCAGCGGCGGGTGACGTTCTACAGGGAGCCTTTGCAGCCAGACCAGATGGCGTATGCACTATACGGGTGGGCGTCGGGGGAGACCTACGAGAGCAGCACGTGTAACTTCGGAATTGGTAGAGCTTCTGGCCTGGTGGTTGTACGTGACGTGAGCTTCGGGTGTACGGAGAGAAGATTGCCTGGCCGACTGGAGTTCGCAAACTCGTTGTTCTGTGGGCGTTCGCTAACAAAGGGTTCCCCAATTGCCACGGTTGCATTGACTGCACTCACATCTACGTGACAAGCCAGCGAATGGCCCGAGCGAAAACTACTATGACAGGAAGCGGCGTTTCTCCATCGTCGCGTAGGTCGTCGTCGACCTGGACTTGCGCGTACTCGATGTGCACATGGGATACCCGGGTAGCTGCCACGACATCAGGGTGCTCCAGTTGTCCAGCCTGTGCAGGCGCGCGAAGTTGGGGTCGTTGTTTCATGGTCCCCCTGTGACACTCCCCTTTGGGGTGCGGACGAACGGCTACGTTTTGGCGGACAATGGGTATCCCCCTTCGGAATGGATGGTCGTCCCCTACGGAGGCTTGAATCAGCATTTCAACGAGGAGCGCTTGGATAACAAACAGAAGGTGGCGAGGGGAGCGGTGGAGAGGGGTTTCGGCAGGCTGAAGGGCATGTGGAGGCTTTTTCTGGGGACGCACAAGACAAACTTGGACACGCTCCCGCAGCAGTTTACTACCGTCTACATACTGCACAACATTCTGATCAACGCTGGAATTCCATTCAACGAAAATCTGCTATGGGAGCTGGACGCTAACGGTGTGTGACGACGTGTGGACCTCGGGATTCATGAGACCTTTCAACCAGTCTCCATGATTACTTCGACTGACGAAGCGCTAGCCCTGCGGAATGCTCTTGCAGAGCGCATGAAACACGACAGAGTCATGTTGGCATGCTGGACGGCGGCGCTAGTGCAGACATTGCAATGTTGGCAGGAAGGCAGATCCCTTCGTTATGGACTCGTCGAGTACTTAGTGTTTGTGCGTGTGTTGGGGATGGGAGTTGTGTAGGATGTGTTTGTGGTCATGATCGTCGCAGTGCGCGATTGTGCACGCCAGTTGTCTAGCCAGACCGCCATCGGGCGGTTTACGGTGTGTTTGGGAAACACGGTGCACTGCGCGGCCTCCGTCGGCGCCGTTTTTGTTGACACGTGGCCACCGTGGCGAACGGGCAGTGGGGTGGACGATGCGGGAGGGGCGATGTCGCCCCCCCTTGCATTCAATCACATTGTCGTTTTGAACAAATGGTAGTTAATTGTCTTTTGTCCTTGGGTTTTTCCGAATCGTAAAATCAGGGGAGCGGTGGAGATGGGTGTTTTGTTGTTCTTCTGTCGATTGTTTTCCCCGCATAAGACTAATGTGAGGATTGAGCCCTCAAGTAGGGGCCTTGCCATGATGTACATGTTCTGGGCTAACGCCCCAGCAAGCCTAGTGCCCGCCCTAAGTGAAGGCGGGCCAGCAAATCAACAAGAGCCCTCTCTGCCAACATTTCACGAAGTGGGGTCTATACAGTTGCAGCACGCCAGTTGGTTGGAGTGCACCGAGTCTAAGATTTCAGCGAATGCTGAAATGCCCAGGGCCTCTGAGTTAGTTAGACCCTGGGCACTCGAACGTGAGGCCGACAATGCATGCTGGGTAGAGAGGCCGAAATGCCAAAGGGAAAATCGGCCCACTATCTGAATCTGGYCGCAGGCCTTGAGAAGAGAGGCGCAACTGCATTACTCCGGGGCCCAATTGTATCGGGAAGGCTTCAGCCTCTCGGTCCCGGTCGCAGGCTGAAGGGAGGCCGCCCACATGCTGCACTGGCATATAGGCAAGCAGGGCGAGGCAGCAAGCATCTTGGCCAATGCTGGCACTTGCGGGCACACTGCGCAAATGCATGTGTGCTGTGCTGTGCAAGGCAGTGCTGCGCTAAGAGCAAGCAGGCCAGCGCTAGGCAGTAGGGCGCTGCCTGCACGCAGGGCACTGGCGGCCATAGCCGGGCCGCAAGAGGGTGCAGGGRAGGTGAGGGCGAAGGTGGTACTTCGGAGGTGAAGGGCGCTGTGTGGGTAACAAGGGAGAGTGTGGGGAAGAGGACACGTACCTGGTGATGGTGGAGGTCTGCATTGGTGTTGACATYMTCACTBGCTGGTAGTCAAGTTGTCTGGTTGCTGTTCATTGCTGTAGTTGTAGGATAGGCTGTAGAGTAGATAGGGCGCCTGGCGCCATTCACAAGAGAGAGCTACATTTGGGTTATGCTGTTGGTGTTGCCCTGTTGGGCATGGACATTGACTCACGATTCTTCTGTATCATTCTCAATGGGATGGTTACTCGGTTCCATGTGCTATCTGCTTTGGCTTTGAATACTTGGACTTCAGTGTGATTTTGCATTCTGGATTTCTGTGCTTCGTCCATACTCATGTTCCTTGCAATTTGGTATCGAAGCTGGTTTGATCGCCACTTACCTTTGGCACGTTGGCGTTATACAGACTTGGTGCGTTGATGATGCTTCTTCGCAGTGGGTACTTGTGACGTCAGGCTACACTAGGTGCACGCCCTGGGTAGAGAGGGGTGCACCGGAAGGCTATTGACGACATTATTAGTCGTGGGATACAGCGGAATGTTTGATTGGTGATGAGAGCATGCCGATGTGGCATTGGACTAAGGTGGCACTGCATTGCGTTGTGGGTGGTATCGAGGTCATGACCGGTCATCAAATGCAACATCAGCTCAATTGGTGAGAAATYTRTGGTTGGGGGCAGCTATCYCCAGGTATGTTGATCCCTTACCTTATCTACTCTCTCAATCTCTTCTTACCGTGAGGAAGTGAGTCCAACTTGAGAGTCCTCTCTTTTGGTGAGGTGTCGTGAGYGCGCTACCTTGAGAGACGACAATCTTCCCAGAAGCATCTGGAAGGAGAAAGGGCGGTGCCTCTGAAGAGCCCTGGTCGAAACACTTGGGTCACGGTCACCATGCCAACACACAGGGAGTAGTGCACGCATGCGATGGCTGCTGTCCTGTTTGGCACTTGCTGCGCTGATAGAAGTTCCTCCGGGTGTGCCAGCCCATGACAGACGCTCACCAGACCGTCTATAAATATTTCTGGTTGGGAGTTCATTGTGAATCTGTGATCGTCGTCCTGACTGCGACGTTAAATAATTCCTGAAGAGATGGGGGCGCTCTATAAATTCCTCCTGATCAGCCAGATCACATGGACAGGAAGGCTCGTCGCCGTACGAGGGTAAACAAGAGTGGTTGGGCTGGCTTGCTCGGTGACAACTTGGGCATAGGGGTGGGCCGAAATGCACACGAAGACACTGCCTGCTCAATGATGCTGATCGGATGGTTGGATTGAGGGGAGGGGAGGCTTCAATTGGTGCTCAACTGTATACACAACGATACCCATCAATCATACATCTGCTACATTGTCTTTTTGTACCTTTGATTAGTTGGTTGACGGACTGCTAACGTCACAGACAGATTAATGCAGGACTGTTGTATGCTACCATAGCCAGTACTAACTAATGCTGTTGTAAGTGAACCAGTCAGGGTGCATCTAGACAATGTCGACAATCTGTGTGAATGTTGTAGACATGTCACTTGATTCGGTACTATAGGGAACTCGCCGGACACAACTATGTATGGAAAATTATGTGTCGGTCAGACACACTCTGCGGTAGGATTCCATTAGGGGACTCTAGTGTAGACACTATCTGTCTAACTAATTAGTGGGTCAGATCCTGTTGATGATAGAGCTGACAACAGGAGACTAACACGTGCACGGGCACTAAGGGTACCGCACGTGTTCCAGTCCTTGGAGCCGGGAGAAGAAAGAAGGATACGTAGAGCCCATGCGCTAGCAGCGGGGATAGCAGAAGCAAACAGAGCAGCAAGAGAGCAGGCAACAACAGCCAGAGCAGCTGCAATGGCTAACGGCGCAAGCTCTGCTGCGTCTTCATCTGCGTCCTCGTCAGGGACTAATGGGAGCTGGTTGGGAATGCCAACGAGTTCCACAAGTTCCTCAGGCACTTCCGGTTCCTCAGGTTCTAGACAGTCTTCTAGTCAAATGGCAGGCTCGCAGTTCAGCCCCATGACCGCACGAGAGCGGGAGCTAAGAGAGATCCAACAGGTCGAGAGGCTACGCCGTAAGTTAGAGCAGGACCTGAAAGAGGCAACCGATAGAGAAAATGAAATGAAAACTAGAGCAGCCAGGCTTGAAACTTTAGAGACTGACAAGGCTGAACTAGAGGGCTTGGATGAGGCAACAATGAATGCCCAGATGAAAGTGTTGAAGAAGAATGTGCTGTCGCTGCACACGCATGTGGACAGCAGATTCGACTTCATGCAAAGCACTCTAGACCAGATCCTGGACGCTTTGACAAGGCTAGGATACCGGCCACCAGCACAATCGCCGTTGCCGTTATCGGCGAGGTCAGGCCCCTTTCCGGTTCAAGTTGGCACACAGCCAAAATGCACATCTTCAGCAGCAGCACAGACTGTTGCATCTTCTTCTTCGGGTCCAGTGCTGGTTGCTACACCACCGCAACAAACTAGTCCTCCACAAGGACAGCCGCAAGGTCAATGGTATCCCAAGACCCCAATGAAACCGCCTCTTGCATTCTCAGGCGAGAGAAACGACGAGGAACTCAACACATGGTTGAGGACAGTCCCGGTTTGGGTAAAGGCCAAAAGGACCTTGCCTGAGGACGAAGTGGTAACTGCGGCGTCTTACCTAGAGGGTAAGGCAGCCAAATGGTTAGATGGTGTAGTTGTGAAGGCCGGGTACGGGCGACGCATGGCGGATTGGGCTAAGTCTTTGACTTTAGACCAATTCATGGAGATGGTAGAAGCTCGATGGCATAACCCACAAGAGGCTCAAAGGGCCACTGATGCCATTAATAAACTGGACCAACGCAAGTTCAGGTCAGTTAGGGAGCTTACGACTACCGCCGAGAGCCTGATCCTCGTCCCAGGCATCAACTATAGTGACCAGTTCCTCTTAACCACGTTTGTTAGATGTCTACCTGAGAACATGAGGAACTTACTAGCCAGTCAGGCACGCACTGAGTACCACTCATTTGAGACATTGTCTAGGAAAGCCTTAGACTTAGAGGCCACGCTAGGCAATGCTCAACCCACCTCAGGGAATGACTCAAAGAAGAAAAAGAGTCCTCAGGAGTGGAAGAAGAAGGGGGCGAAGTTGATGATGGTTGAGTCTGATGGGACTCAAACTGAGATTGATGAGCTCTCTGACCTGATGGACTACTCAGAGTATGACGGCGAGGAGGTAGTTGAGGGTAGCACCCTTGCCGTGGTAGTAAAGACTAAGGCAGGTGGCCAAGGGAAGGGCCAACCTAGGAGTCAAGGGAAGGCCGCCTCCAATCAGACCAAACAGTCTGAGTGGGTAAAGGCAGGTCTTGATCAAGACGTGTGGCGTGACCGCCGAATGCGTGGCGCTTGCATCAACTGCGGARAATACGGACACACGCAGTGGAAGTGTCAGAACGCTAAGGTTACGCAAAAGGTTGCTCCAAACGTAGGGACAACCTATTCCCTGGCTTCTAGCTTAGGAAACGCGTAGGGCTAGTGGAAGTAGTAGCGGCTTCTACTCAAGATGAAGTGGGAATGATACCCTCCTCACTTCATGACAAGGCCGAAGCTAATGACTCCTTAGTCACCCCGCAGACACAACTACACCAAGCTATGCTATGTATGTTAGATGTGTCTGAGGCCTTAGAAGACTTAGAAGGCGAGTGGTCAAACAAGAACCCTCGCAAGTCTTGGGTGGCGCTAAAGAAGGGTCCTAGAGGGGAACATTTCGTGGTGGAAGTGGATGTAGGGGGCCGCAAATGTGGAGCCTTCATAGACAACGGATCCACGCGAAATTACATAAGTCACGATTGTTTCGAAAGGCTGCACCTACAGGACCGGGTACGACACCTTAGTAGACCAGTAGCAGCTACTTTGGCCAACAAAGAGCGCATGATTGTCACAGACTACATCAAGGACGTAGTCTGTACCTTCTCCTATGGAGGAGGAGAGCTTAACCATAAGATCTCGTTCTTGGTTAGCGACGACTTGCCATTCGAAATGTTGTTAGGCATGTACTACCTCGAAGTTGCTAAGCCCCAGTTCGACTGGGATAAGAAGGTGCTTAAGCATAAGTTRCCCGATGGCCGAACTGTCAGATTGACTAAGTTCAAGGCCAGCAGTATTGTAGATACCTATGGCTGCTTGTGTGCATCAGCGTTCTATAACTACTACAAGCAAAACCAAGAGGAAGGKATGTACCTCGTTTACGTCTCTGAGAAGGGGGAGGCCGTTAAAACACCCCCAGAGATAGAACGCGTCGTTGCTAAGTTCCCTGATTTGTTCGAGGAGCCCACAGGAGTTGTTGAWAGGGAAGTCGTCCACGCTATAGAAATCATTCCAGGGAGTAAGACCCCAAAGGGAAGGATCTATAGGATGGCCCCTGCCGAGTTAGATGAACTTCGGAAGCAACTAAAAGAGCTGACAGAGAAGKGTTGGATTCGGCCTACTACTTCCCCTTACGGATCACCCGTTCTATTCGTACCAAAGAAGGGGGGTACTTTGAGGATGTGCATTGATTATAGGGGCCTCAATGCCATCACAGTGAAAAACGCAGAGCCTCTACCTCGCATAGACGACCTATTGGATAGGGTGCARGGATGCAAGTACTATAYAAAGATAGACTTGAAATCCGGATATCACCAGATCGCAATAAGACCTGAGGACCAACACAAGACAACTTTTCAGACTAGATATGGTCTGTACGAGTTTGTAGTGATGCCTTTCGGTCTTTGTAATGCGCCGGGTACGTTCCAGCACGCTATGAATCGGATCTTCCATGACCATTTAGATAAGTTTGTCATAGTCTATCTAGACGACATTCTGATCTTTAGTAAGTACGCCGAGGAGCACGCTCAACATGTTGAGACAGTACTCTCACTCCTACGACAACACAAGTATAAGGTCAACTTAGAGAAGTGCGAGTTTGGCCGCACTAAGATACTATACTTGGGTCATGAAGTATCCGCGGAAGGGATTAGGCCGGAAGATGCGAAGGTGGCTAGTATTCGAGACTGGCCACGACCTCAGACAATCACCGAGGTCAGATCTTTCTTAGGAATGTGCGGCTACTATAGGAACTTAGTAAATAACTATTCTACAGTCGCCTCTCCTTTGACAGATCTAACTCGACTTGACACGCCGTGGGACTGGAGTGATGAGTGCGAAGGTGCTTTCAAGCGATTGAAGCATGCACTCATAAATCATGAAGTTCTCATGGTTCCCGATCCGCAAAAGTCATTCATAGTAACCACTGACGCAAGCCAATACGGCATTGGCGCAGTGCTGGCTCAGCAGGATGGGAAAAAGTTGAGACCGATTAAGTACATGAGTAAGAAAATGCCTTCGAAGAAGCTGGCTAAGTCCACCTACGAAAGGGAACTCTATGCTCTCTACAAGGCACTTCTCCATTGGAGACACTTCCTTCTAGGAAGGTTCTTSTATCTGAGGACTGATCATCAGACACTCAAATGGATCAAGACTCAACCGACTCTTTCTGATGCACTCAAGCGATGGATTGAGGTCATAGACCAATATGACTTCAAGCTTGAGTACCTGAAGGGAGAGTATAACAAGGTTGCAGACGCGCTATCCCGTAGAGCAGACTACTTAGGTGCGCTAGTTTCTGAATTTGGCGTATCTAACGAAGTGACTCAATCATTGGTGGGAGCCTATCAGGAAGACCCTGTCACGATGGACATCATCCGCAAACTT